CATTAGATGGATTTGTAGGTTCAGCTCTGAATAGTGACTTGTATGTGTGAATTTAGCACTAAAAGCATTGGCAACCTGCAAGTCCCTTGCTGTTATTCCTAGACTTATTCTGAGGAGAGAGAAGTAATCATGACAAATCGCAGATGGTTTGGAAACAAATGCCGATTGGTGATCTCATCCTACCAGTATCACCCTAATTACTTTTCACAGGATTTGAACTTGAGTTTCCTGAGGTGATAGGCTTATGCAGTAATGTTCTGTACCATCAAGCCCTCTGATCCTCCAGGCAGTCCCAAAATTTCACTTTAAAGGACATTGGCAAGTAACTTAATCCCTAAATGTTACCTATTTGTACCCTCTTTTGTACACGTAATATTTTAAAACCTTGTAAGTATTGTTGGATTCCCCCCCCACCCCGCATAAATATGATGACTAGAATCCAGAGCCTCTGCTAAAACATTAAGAAATGAAAGGGGAAAAATAATAGCTCATATTTTATGTGTTTGTACTACTGAGCCAAAAGCAGTTGTGTGTTCCCTCTTATGGCACTGCAGCAGCAGTTAATTAACAATCTTATTCCCGGAGCTGCACTGAGGACATTAGTGATGCTAGTACTCAAACAGAAAACGAAACAAATTATTAACTTGTTTTCCAGCCTGTACTGCCACAGTGGAATGTGGGGATGGTACTCTGAAATGTCTTGTGTAGATAATGTACCTGGTATGAGGGGCAGCACAGGAGATGAGAGGTGGTGGAATCTCCTTCCTTTGAGGTTTTTAAGGTCAGGCTTGAGAAAGTCCTGCCTAGGATGATTTAGTTGGGGATTGGTCCTGCTTTGAGCAGGTGGTTGGACTAGATGATCTCCTGAGGTCCCTTCCAACCCTGATATTCTATGATATGATGAAAAGTGAAGCAGTCGATTTTAAATTTCTTTAGAAATGCAACTAAATACATATATGCGCACACACCTGCTCAAAATTGGCAGGCACACTATTTTCAGACATTTAAAGACATAGTAATTTAGGACCAAAATTTATTTTGGTTTTGCTTTCAGAAAATATATATTGTAAATAGGGTTGGACATTTGAATGGTACAAAAATGACAGGTCAATTGATCGGTGAAATATTGTCAAGATAATGTCAAAAGTGGTCAAATATTTTAAAGCACACTACTTTATTAGAACAGTAACAACGTCTAAGACTTTTTGGTCTCCAATAGTCTTAGCCGTAAATACTTGCATCTAATTACAAAAACAAAGTCACTTAACTGAGAAACTCCGAAAAATACAAAACTCGATGAAGTTCTTAAAAATTAAAGAATTTTTTAGCAATGTTAGTATTTAAATGTGAATGTTATTAAAGACCGAACCGTTAGAAAAGAAAAAGGTAATATAATAGAAATAAAACAAACACCTAGCAACTATGAAAGGGTAAAGTCTGTTTTTAAAGTCCATCAATGCTAGGTAGGCAACAAACCAACTCTTTAAACAGCTCAATGACCGTGCATCCATAGGTGCTGGAACTAGGGGTCCTGGGGGTCCTGCAGGACCTTTCAGCTTGAAGTGGTTTCCATTATATACAGGGTTTACGGTTTGGTTCAATGGCTCTCAGCACCCCCGCTATACCCATTCATAGAATCATAGAATATTAGGGTTGGAAGAGATGGAGGTCATCTAGTCCAACCCCCCAGCTCAAAGCAGGACCAACACCAACTAAATCATCCCAGCCAGGGCTTTGTCAAGCCGGGCCTTAAAAACCTCTAAGGATGGAGATTCCACCACCTCCCAAGGTAACCCATTCCAGTGCTTCACCACCCTCCTAGTGAAATAGTGTTTCCTAATATCCAACCTAGACCTCCTGCACTGCAACTTGAGACCATTGCTCCTTGTTCTGTCATCTGCCACCACTGAGAACAGCCAAGCTCCATCCTCTTTGGAACCCCGCTTCAGGTAGTTGAAGGCTGCTATCAAATCCCAGCTTACTCTTCTCTTCTGCAGACTAAATAACCCCAGTTCCCTCAGCCTCTCCTCGTAAGTCATGTGCTCCAGCCCCCTAATCATTTTTTTTGCCCTCTGCTGGATTGTCTCCAATTTGTTCACATCCCTTCTGTAGTGCGGGGACCAAAACTGGACGCAATACTCCAGGTGTGGCCTCACCAGTGCCAAATAGGGGGGAATAATCACTTCCCTCAATCTGCTGGCAGTGCTCCTACTAATACAGCCCAATATGCCATTGGCCTTCTTGGCAACAAGGGCACACTGCTGACTCATATCCAGCTTCTCATCCTCTTTAATCCCCAGGTCCTTTTCTGCAGAACTACTGCTTAGCCAATCATTCCCCAGCCAGTAGCGGTGCATGGGATTCTTCCATCCTAAGTTCAGGACTCTGCACTTGTCCTTGTTGAACCTCATCAGATTTCTTTTAGCCCAATCCTCCAATCTGTCTGTCACTGGACCCTCCAGCCTATCTACCTCTCCCCACAGCTTAGTGTCATCTGCAGACTTGCTGAGGGTGCAATTCATCCCATTATCCAGATCATTAATAAGGATGTTGAACAAAACTGGCCCCGGGACCGACCCCTGGGGCACTCCACTTGATACCAGCTGCCAACTAGACATCGAGTTGTTGATCACTGCCTGTTGAGCCCGACAATTTAGCCAGCTTTCTGTCCACCTTATAGTCCATTCACCCAATCCATACTTCCTTAACTTGCTTAATTCAACATGGTTCCAGCACCCTTACATGCATCTTTTCTCTTGTGGTGGGAAGAACATTCAGTGTCTGGGAGCCTTCCTCTCCATCCCTCTTGGCTTTCAGAATTAATTTCTTAGTTTAGACGGTTTAGATTGTAAGCTGTTCAGGGGAAGGAGTGTGTCATTTAACTTATTTAATGTGCTTTGTAAACTTCCCTGTATATTGATACCCTTGTATACAAATGAAGTTATACATACTTACATACTTTGTTCAAATATTCCAGCCAATCAAGATGCCCAACATTCAGTTAATTCACCTTTTTTCCCAACACGTGGCATTAGCGTGTAGCAAAGTTAGTGATTAAGCCATTTATGTGGGTAACAGATGGCACCATGGTGCAATCAAAAAGGTAGGCACCACCTACAGCAGGGCATTCTTGCTGTAATATTTGACTGTGGTCAAATAATTGGCATTATTTGACTGGTCAATTGACTGGCTTTCCAAGCCTAATTTTAAAAGGAAAATCTAAATTTTGGCACTAGACTATTTGTCTCTTAAACTCTGAAGACAGTGTCTCTACTGAATTTGTGCGTGTGTAATGGGGAATGGATCACTTGATTGCCGTTCTGTTCATTCCTTTTGAGGTACCTGGCATTGACCACTGTCAGAAGACAGGATACTGGGCTAGATGGACCTTTTGGTCTGACACAGTATGGCTGTTCTTATGTTCTTATATTCTCCCAATATTAATAGAATTATTTGAATAAAAAGAGATTTTTGTCTAGATTTAAAAATTTCCTGCGGTGTTTGCAACCCAGAAATTTCAGCATTGTGCTAATGCAGGATGAACCAGAAAGTAAAACTTGTTGTAAACAAATAAAATGGACTGGTCTATTTTTTTTCCAAATGTCCAGGCTGGATCTGATGCAGTAACTAAGTGGAATAATAGGTGGAAAGAAATTAAAATGACAAAATTAATTCAGTTTTCATCACTTAGTAATATGAGTTAGGAATTCTCTGTGTTCTGTTTTGTTTTTTTGTTTTACTGTAAATGAAAGTGTGTGACTTTTAACTTATCAAACCTTTTAACCTACAAAGTAGGTGTCTTTTAAAAAGTATGTTGATTGTTAAATTTAAGAAATCTTTAAGTATGGAAGACTTGCTTTAATGTTTCCAGATACACCAGTGACCCCCAATATGATGGGTATCAGGGAGGCAATGTCTCAATAATACAGTTTTGTAGATGTCCTGAATCATTCCTAAAGCTTCCATTCACTCTTCATGCTGAGCATCCATTCAATCTGACCCACCCTCGGCAGTAGCCAGAATCAATATAATTACCCTGCAGCTGGCAAGGCAGGAAACTTCTAATACCACTCCAATTTAGCTGCTAGGGAAAGGGGGCTAAGCGGGGATAATACTGCAACCTAATCCTGGAAGCTGAGAGCGTCAATTGAGCTTCTAACTAATGCTGCCTTAAGGAGAGAGCGAGCAAGAGTACTTGAAGTTGGCTCGAAACCTGGAACTTTGAATAATGGCAATACACAGAATGCTATCCATTAGGCCATTGCTGGGACAACCCATTTTGTTTTATACTTCTGTCTGAAATATCCTCCACTTTTCCACATGCCAAGAGAACAGTCTTAGAGCTCTTTCACTAATGTTTGACTGAGACAGACAGACTGCTTGTGGGATATTGTATGTAAACAATGATTTCTAATAGAGCAAAGCTATAAATACAAAAAAGGAAGGGATTTTTGAAAGGCACTCTGCCAGTAATTAAAGAGAAGGGGCTGTCTGCAAAGTCTTGTGGTTTACCCTAGATAGATCTATGTCTGTAGACACATGGGCAGTAAATATCTGAGATGTAGTGTAATGTACATTAAGATCTTTCCTGGGAAAGGAGCATTATGTCATGGTTCTGCAATACTACTAAAGCAATATTTAGTTCCATTCCCTTCTCCCACAACAACCCCTGTTTTTAACATTCTCTGTAAGCAGTGACTCATTTTTTAATCATGTGTAAAGGATATAAAAACTAGGTCCAAGATTTTTTTAAAAAAAAATGTTTGAATAATAGATTTTGGGCACATGTGCATGTTGAACAGCTGCTGTTAATTTTCTGTCTATGGTATAGCCACAGACTATAAAGAAAGAATAGAAGATTCAGATTACTTAACACGTATATGCTCAAAAGTGTTTTCAGACAGAGCTGATGGCCAGCAGAGCTTTGAAAGATTATCTTTTTTGAGACGAGTGGCTTTTCCCAGTAGAGTGACCAGATATTTTTTGTTTGTGATTTCCAGCTGTCCCATTTCCTCCAAGCCACCGGCTCACAGCTAAGGAAGTGTTTGATAATGATGGAAAACCCCGTGTGGATATCTTAAAGGCACACCTTATGAAGGAGGGGAGGCTGGAAGAGACTGTTGCTTTGAGAATAGTAACAGAGGGTGCTTCAATTCTCCGTCAGGAAAAAAACTTGCTGGACATAGATGCCCCAGTCACAGGTAAGTGCCAATATTAAATCGGAACATGCAAGCACATGCATTCAGGTATATACTACTCCCCTGAGAGTTCGGTGAAAGTTTCCTACTCCACTGACTGCTCTCAGTACTTAACTCTGCATCTCTGAATCCACTGCCACAGTGGGCCTGATCCTAAGAGTTGCTGAGATCCTTAATTTCCACTGATATTAGAGGAAAGGACCTTATGGGCTGAAAACTTTTGCTTCTAAAGTATGGAGAGTTCTCTAGACGAATATATAAGATTAAAAGTGTGTTCTAAAAGATAAAACTGATAAAAGATAACTGCCTGTTTTACCAGATGTTAATTCCGTACATTTACAGATGGCCTTCACCTCAGTAGCATCATTCAAACTTAGTCAGCCTTACTCTGAAGGATCAATGATGCTGTAGTGAAAGGAAACTTCCTTATAAGTGGTCAGAGCAATAACAAATGAGCAAAAAGAAAAAGCTAGAAGAACCTCCGCATATTATTTGTCTACGGAATTAATGAATTGTTCTGATTAAAGAACCCATTTTGCCCTTGGCTATCAAACATTTCCACTCACTCATTAATTCTCAGGAAATGCCTTGTGCCTGATCTTCCTTCTCTGATTGTCTCCCACTTCCGACTGCATTCTGTGCATAGGAATGCATTTGCTTGTTTTAATACACTCTTTTGTATTTTTATTATTTAAAAAAATTTTTTTTTGCAAACATACAGTTGCTTTTCTGAGAAGTTGAAGAGTCTTTGACAGGAAAACTGATCCACGGCTTAGAGAGTTAGTTGCAGAGCTAAACATTACTTCCTCATAGTATGAATCCTAGACATATAGGGTTTTTTTTTTCAAGGAGACTGGAGGATTTGTACCTTCTCTTGGTAGTTTTACCAGAAACAGAAAAGCAGAGCCAGAGTGGAAAGAAAAGTTACTTTAGTAAAGGCAGATAGAAGAGCACTAAGACCCATAATTAGCATTGGTGTTGTCCACCAGATACTATGTGAACTCAGCAAGTGCCTTAATAGTTTTGTTATTTTCAGAAAAGCTACTTCTGAAACCAATAACACAAAGTGGGACATTTTAAGCATCAAATGTAGCATAATTTATTAAAGTCTATTTTCTGAAATGTCATCAAAACATGGAACCCTAGGTAAGTCTCCATATTTCGTTACTTGAGACGATGAGTCAATCATATGTTCTCTTACTGTTCTGGGAGGAAATATGTGTCATGTAGCTCCATAGGTTAACCCTTTGGATGATTGAGGGGAGTCTTAGAGTCTGTAGGCCTTCCCTGCAGAAGAGGATACGGGCTGTGAAGTAGGTTAAATGGAGGAAGACAAGTTCTACAGGGATGCAGCACTCTCTTCTGAATTAAGGGATGCCACCTCTTCCTTCACCACTTTTGGGTCTTTCAGAGAGGTTGTAGTGTGTCTCGAGGAGTGGTTCTATGTGACTTATGCTATCATTCCCTTTTACATTCACCACTAACTCCGAGATAGACATTCTTAGATATCTTTTTTGTTAATTATTCTGAGTAATTTAGCGATGTTATCTCCCTCCTCCCAGATTAATCCCTGGAGGCCTTAGCCAATTTTAGTCTTGTTCTCTCTTATCTGAGTTTACATCTCTTTTGACCATCATTCAAATATATTATCTTCTGGCAATGGGTTGCAGTACTACTTTTTGTATTTCCTCGGTTTGGCTAATGGCTGTTTACCTGGAAGCTGACATGGTGAAGCTTGTATCCTGATGCCTGCTACTGAGGTAATTTGATAGTTCACATGCTCTGTGAACAAACCCAAACTGTAAACTGAGAGCTGGAATAGCAAAACTAATCACTAACAGAAGACAAAAATCTAGAAAGGAGGAAAAGAAAACCTGTGTGTGATGCCCATTCTATTCAGTGAATATTCTATTCATCCATCCAACAGAAAGTTTCTTTGGTTCCTGATAGGTCAGGATCACTGCCAGTTCAGAGTCCTTCCCTTTGGACGAGCAACAGCACCCAGGGTATTCTCAAAGGTTTTCTCTGTGGTGGCAGCCCAAATGAGATGTGACAGCTACACAGTTTTCCCGGACTTGGACGACTGGCTCCTCACAGGTTGCTCCAGCCAAGAGGTCAGGTCGGTGACTTTGTCCCTGCTTCCTCTTCTAGCGATGCTGGGTGTCTGTGTGAACCAAAAAAAAAAAAAAAATCCATTTTGACCACCACATAGTGGATAAACTTTATTGGAATGACACTGGACTCAACTTCAGCAAGATCACCACAGAAGGATTGCAGTCAATGAGCTATTTAATAACTCAGGTTACTCACAGACCAAAGTATCATGTGGCCTAGTAGAGAAAGGCATACTTTGATCATAGTATGCCTTTCTCTACTAGGCCACATGATTCTTTGGTGACCATGGTGATGTTGTTCCACATTATTTGGCTCTGGAGGCAATATCACCACAGAAGGATTGCAGTCAATGAGCTATTTGATAACTCAGGTAACTCACAGACCAAAGTATCATGTGGCCTAGTAGAGATAGGCATGCTTTGATCATAGTATGCCTTTCTCTACTAGGCCACATGATATTGTGTAATTATGTGGCAATATTTGCCAGACTTCATTTACACCGCCTTACACTGTCTACTCACCAGACAATGACCATGTGAACATTAGTGTGATTGTTCCTGCCAGGCTTATTGCCTCTCTCTCACCTGGTGGTCGAATCCGGAATGAGTTTGAGTGGGAGTCCCCTTCAACACTCTCGCTGCCAGTGCCATCGTAGTAACAGATGCGTCTCTTCTGGGATAGGGCGCTCCCCTGTATGGCCACACTGCTCAGGGCACTTGGATCTCACAGGAGGCCAGACTATACATCAGTCTGCTAGAACTGAGAGCATTCTGGCCTGAAGGACATTTTCCCCTCCCATATATTCACTCCAGAGCCAAATAATGTGGGACAACATCACCATGGTCTTTTATATAAACAAGCAGGGTGGAGCAAGATCCCTTCCCTTCTGCCTGGAAGCAGCCAGACTTCGAAATTGGTGCATCAGAAACCACACCAGTTGTTCAAGCCACTTACCTACCAGGTATTCAGAATTCTCTAGGGAACAACCTAAGCAGGCACTTCTCTGCCTGGGGAATGAGTGGGAAATACACAGCTGTGTCCTGAGGGAAATATTCACTCAGTGGGGAACACCCCAGTGGGATCATGCTATGTTCCAAAGGAACAGGAAACTATACCTGTACTGCTCCTGGGTAGCTATCGCCCACGACTCCCAGGGTGACGCTCTCCTGTTATCATGGACAGACCAGCTCAGGTATGCCTTTCTGCCCATCCCCCGCGACCACAGGTCTTGAGAAAGATCTGTTATGACAGGGCCAGAATCATTTTCATGGCACCCAACTGGCCCAGACATTTTGGTTCACAGAACTTGTGAGAATATCAACCTGTCCTTCTACCAGGATCTGTCCCTTCCTGGATCTTCTAAATCAGGAAGAGGGCAAAATCAGACACCCCAATCCAGACCCCTCACAGCCTGGTGTGTGGATGTGTGTCAGATCTAGAATGGCCATGTTTGGAAGCTCTCCAAGCTATTCTTACGCAGAGTAGCAAAGTTTCAACTAGGAACTGCTACCTAGCTAAATGGAGATTTTTCTCTACGTGGGCACAGCACAATCACTTTTTCTCAGACTCTTCAGATATCCCAGTCATTTTAGATTATTTCCTATCATTGAAGAACTTGGATCTCTCAATTAGCTCATTGTGGGTCCATCTCACAGCAGTCAGTGCCTTCCTTCCTCCAGTACACGGGGCTTCTGTTTTTATTTGCCAATGCAAGTTAGATTTCTGCAGGGTCTAGTAATGGCCTTTCTGCGTGTGGTCAAGCCTACACCTCAAAAGGAGTTTAGTTTTGTGCTGTCATTATTTACCAGACCACCATTTGAATCTTTGACCAGATGCTCTATATCCCACATTTTTAGTTGCTGTTACTTTGGTCAGAATGGTGAGTGAGATGGGAGCACTCATGGTGGATCCACTGTGAACCATTTTTCACAAGGAGATCTCCTTTTGCCTTTATCCTAAGTTCCTCCCTGTGACTTATTTTTTGGTGCCTCCTATTGGCTGGGTGTGGTGCTGCAATCTCTTCCCCCCCCCCCCGCTCCTGGTGCCCCCTGTAGGTTGCCAACCTTGCTAGGTAGGTCTTCAGTGGCTTGGGCATCCAGCTAAGTCACACAATCAAACCTGAATGAACCCCTTCTAGAGGGTAGCAAAGAGATTAACAAAACTCACTAGGGTCTTCAGATCTGCCTCTGGCCCTTTCAGTCTAGCCCCTTTCTCAGGCTTTTAGTAGAAGTCCAGCCAGAATTGTTGGTCTACCCTCACCAGTCTTTAGACCTTCTCTGGGTATTTTCAAATCTAGCCCCTTTTCTTTTAAAACTTTCCAGGTTTTAGGCCTCCCCACAATGGGGGAGCCAAGCCCGCCCAGTACTCCAGATCCCGATCCAGGGACGCTATACGCAGCAGCCATGTACTGCTGTCTCCAGGTCACTGCTGCTAGTCCCTGGGCCTTTTCCCACGTAGTCCCTTTCCTTTTACCTGTTACCTTATGGTTACATTTGTCAGGTCTTCTCATTCCCAGGGCCAGTATAACTTTTCCAAAATAATTCCTAGAGCACATCCTTTAAAAAAACATCCAATCTTGACTTTAAAATTGACGGTGAAGAACAATCTGCCACAACACTTGGTAAATTGTTCCAAGATGTCTCCCTAGCCCTTACACTAGAGGGATCTTAAGGGTGGAGCAGGATTAGGGAACTGGGAGCTGATAAAACAATTGTATTTGCCCTATCTAAATCTCTTCAGTCCTGGTAGAGATAGCTTTAACTCAGGGTCTGTCCAGCACTCAAAGCTTTTTGGAATGCCGGGTTCCAGCAGCTTCATCTGAAGAGATCTGAGCATTAGATGGAGAAAACTTATTGCAAAGTTTTAAACAAAAGAGGAATGATTGTTTG